AACTAACGACTAACGTACCATGCCCTGCGACACCTGCCATGCGAAGGCCATCAAATCACCAGGTGTCAAGATATCATCATCAATATCGTCCTTCTCACAATCCTCTGAATCGTAACCCGTGGCAACGACGTCATTGTTACCAGTCTCCACGCGTTGGACAGATAGTAGTTGGATGTCGCCTGGGCTTGACTCTTTAGCGTTTTCTGGTGAGTGAACGTAGATCCTGTTGCTGCGTGATGCCTTCGAAAGGAAATTGGAGGTAGAACGGCGAAAGGTATAATGGGAAAGGTTTATTAAAGGAAAACAAAGAAAAGGAAGAAAAGACATTTCAAATAAAATATAATACTAAAAGGAAAAATATAAGAAAGAAAACTACGAAAACAAGCCTGAGAAACGAAAAAGAAATCGAATACAATGGATAGATGGATAGAAACTAGAATTACTAGTATTTTTCTTATCAAAGACAGAATTCAACTATGTTGCTAATGAATCAATCTTATTTCCCATGTATCCTTTCGACCCCAAGCAACACGAACGATTGAATATCTCAAAGATAATATGATATATCAAGCTTTTTCTACAGACTTTAGTAATACCTGAACTAATAATCCTTCTTCAGGTTTGTTCTTGTTGAAGTACGTCTGGCAGTAGGTAGAGTGGTATGGACCACGAGGATCGCTATCTGGGTATTTTGTTGCCTTAAACACACATTAAGGTTCACAAAATATAAGTACTATTTTTTCAAAAACTTTAATGGAGAAGAAAGGATTATATTAATCATCTCACCTTTCCTCGTCGTTTCCTCAGGTAGTGGAGTAGATCACCATTAGGTAGATATTCCACGATAAGAAACATTGGATCACTGAGTGTACCACAACCCAACATGTTCACGATGTTACGATGTGAGCCAACGTCTTTCATAAGCTGGATTTCCTTCAGAAACTCTCTCGTTTGCTCGGCATCTGCCATGTCTAGCATGCAAATTAGCAAAAAGAAAACATTCATTTGATATACTTAGCAAAAGCATCATATAGATATCAAACTTTGCTGACTTTTCGGTTTTAATTTGTTCAATGGTTCATCTTTGAATCTGGCATTCAGTATCATTGACCAAAGTATGGTACCGCAATTGTACGTTAATTTTTAACCACAAACTTTATTAAGTTTACAAATATAACAGCCAAATAATCAAGTCCAATTCCTATAAAAATTTCAAATATCTAAAAGCCATGTACCGGAATCTCCGAAGATTTCCGAACCACGAACGAATGTAGACCGATTAAATATGAGGCAACACAGCTTGTTATGACAGTTTTGATCACCTCACAATCTTACCGTGTAACATCTTTACGGCCACAACGAAGCCATCTTCTTGATTCAAAGGTTTTAGGCTCTTCCTCCTGATACTTTTTGCAATAGAGTACTTGGCTGATTGTTCTGGTAACTCAAGCAAGATTCCCTTAAAAACCTTTCCAAAAGCTCCTTCGCCCAGTTCTTCCTCCAGGTAGATTTTTTCCACAGGTACYTCCCACAGATCAATCACTGCGCCCTTGCCACTGCATGGAAAGAATGAAAGAAGATGAAAGAATGAAAACGAAAATTGAATTTTGAATGAATGAGGAAAAAAAACAATAGAACATTGTCAAAAAAAAGACAATATAGGCTAATCTATCGAACAACCAAACCGCCAACAATCAAGAAACCAGGTTGCACYTACCCGACAAGAACTCCATCTTTGATTCGCTTTTGTCTTCTTAAGTACCACAAGAGAAAGACAACAACCAACAATACAAAGACGAAAACTCCTATGGCAATACCAGCTATCTCGATGGGATTCAATGTTGACAGCTGTTTAACTGGTACTGAAATAACAAGAGCAAAGGATTTTAGTATTGAAATCACTGGCTTGRGTGGCAAGGGGGAATAAATGGATTAAATAACGGCATTGGATGATGAAATAATAATAGATAAAAAAAAAACAACTAAAAATTAAAGACGAACCAGATGGATTTGAAATAGTGATGCTTGATTTCTCTCCGACAATAATATCAACGTCAAATACAGGAGTAACCTTCAAAAAAACATACACATATT